GATGATGATGAGATTTCTAGTTATTTCGTGTTATATTTTGTTACGAGACTTTAGATTCTCATCCTAACCAAAATTATTATAACGGCGAAATGTGAATAACTCCTTGTAGTGTGTATGTATGTATACATGTCCATTGCTAGATCTAAGTGTGTAATTCATATATATCGGATTGTATCCAATATTTAGAGGAGTATTAAATGTAACTTCAAACAATAAAGTTGTTTCTCTAATCTCCCCGATGCACCACCTTACATGGCGACCCTGCCAATTAAGGCGGCCGACTCGGGTTCCGTCGCGCGTTCGCGTATAAAATAATTATATACAAAACAAATACAAAGTGGTCAAACTCGAAATGTGCCGAGCAAAAGTCGAAAAGGAAGAAGTCTTTATAACACAAAATGCTGCCGGAGGATCTAACTCAGCGAAGATTCAAGAATACCACCTTTCAAACATTAGCATAGTGCTAATTGTAATGTGCACTATGATTGGAATTGCTGGTTTATATGCAGTCTATAGATTGTATAGAAACTGTCACCATACTTGGATTAGAAACGAATTTTTGACACAACAATTGATGCGGTCTTTTCGGCGACCAGAGGGACGAGTTGTGTACGAAGGACACCAGCGCCAAGTGATGCAGAGCTGCGAGCACCGTCAGCAACCATATCGACAGGAGCCAGTGATGAAAGTGCAAGATCAGTGTTAAAAATATCAGTGTCGAAAAGATATTGTGCTATAATGAAGCGTGAAATGTGAAAAAAAAAGTGTATTGAGTTAAGGTTTCCTAACCTATTGACTATAACGTACTAAATGCCATAATCTTATGTAGATTTAATTTTAGCACTTTATGGACTTATAATTGCATAGACTAGTTTGAGGTGTAGAGATATATTTAGCGTAATTCAAATATGTTGTAATTTGCCTAAGGTTTAAGGATTATGTCAATATGTTATGGCCACGGAGCTAAAAACTATTTATGATAAGTTGAAGAGTATAAAAACTAATTTAGTTAAATCTAATTATTCTCGAAGGACCAAAGTATATTTGCAACAAAAGTTAAATGAGGCCACGCAATTACGGAGACAATTTGATGGCTGTATGCTTATTTTGTCTCAGCAAATAGAGCGGAAACAATTGAAAAGTTCGGTTTTGGTAGAAATACAGGCATATTGTGATTTGATTAGACAAATTTATATTGAAATAGAAGGCATATGTTCTAAGGAGTACTGTTCCCCTTCTCATAGTATTGTTGAAGGTATCGACAGTGAATCTATCGACATGGCTAGTTTCGATTTTAAGATAGCTACGTCTCTATTGCCGGTTATGACGGGTGAAGAGAATGTCACTAAGGACCTAATCGATGCTATAGAATTGTATAGTTCCACACTTAATGACCAAGGTAACAACATGCTTATAAAATTTATATTAAAAACGCGCTTAAATCAAAGTGCAAAACTGAGGTTATCAAGTACCTATGAAGCATGTGACGCGCTACTGGCAGACATGCGTCTGCAATTATTAAGTAAAAAATCAAGCACTTCTATTCATAAGGAAATGCTAGAATTGAAACAAAATGGCATGTCCTTGGATAATTATGGCCGTAAAATAGAACAATTATTCGTAGATTTAACGATTTCCCAAGCCGACAGTGACCAAAATGCGTATACAGTTTTACGTCCATTAAATGAAAAGATTGCAGTTAGAAGTTTCAACGACGGCCTACGAAATCGACAGCTAAGCACTATACTATCCGCACGTAATTATACCAGTCTAAAAGATACTATTAGGGCGGCTAAGGATGAAGAGGCATCAAGTAGTCAACAGAATCCGGAACCGTCTGTGTATTTCGGAAATAGAGGAAAATTCAATAATAATAGATATTTTCGAAACAACAACAGAGGTAATTTTTCAGGACGGTTTGGACAATCTAATCACCAGTGGGCGCGGGGTAGTTTACATACAACTTATGCTAATCGCCAACCTCGTGGTCAAATTTCAGGAACATATCCACAACGTGGTGGAGGTTACTCTAGACGTGGACAAAGTGGATTCCATGGTGGTAAGCATAACCGAAATTTCACTCGCTCTAACAATAGTATGCATTTTATGAATAATACGGTAGATAACACGACATCGGACGATCGGTTATTACCAAACTCTAAGAACAATGGAAACGAACTTTTGCAGTTTTTTCGATAACAATTTCGTATTAGCTTGTGAGTATAATAGTTCGGTGGAATGTTCAATACAAGATGCCAAATATAGTTTGCTTATAGATTCCGGAGCATCTTTGTCAGTATTAAAACATGAAACGGTGAAGCATTGGAATATTCCAATGCACACCGAATGCATTTCCATAAATGGTATTGGAGGCAAAGTACAAACCGTGGGGTATGTTTTTATTACGCTCAACATAAATGGAAATGAATTTATACACAAATTTTATGTTATGAAATTCTTACCATGTATGCAACACGGTATAATTGGTCGAGATTTTATGAGAAGATACAAAGCTATTTTAAATTTTGAAAATAATACCTTGATACTAAGTAACAACAACAATACTGTTACATCTACTATGACTAATGGTACATTAGGTACGACAAATTTTCTAAGTATTCCACCGAGGTGTGAAAAAATATATCAAATAGACTGTTCTTTTAAAAATGAATGTGTAGTGATAATAATAATAATAATAATAATAAGTTTATTTCAGACTTTAGATGATATGTCCATAGGTTTGTTAGTAATGGTGTGATACCTGATGAATTAGGAAAAGGAGTTTTCTTAGCTGGAAGTATATGTAAACCGGTTAACGGGAAAATAAATATACAAATACTAAATACTCGGTTAACAACAGTAAATTTAAATTATTTTAGGCCAGAAATACACAAATTATCAGAATATGAAATATTAAATTTTGAAAGAAACAATAATATTGATGGAGATAGAGTACGCACTATGTTTGCACATTTGAATTTAAGTCATTTAAATGAAGAGGAAAGCAAATCGATCCAAAATATTTGTGCAAAATTTTCAGATGTTTTTCATTTACCCAATGATAAATTAACAACTACGAATCTTTTCGATCAAACTATCCAGCTAAAGACGAATGCAGATCCAGTTTATGTTAAACAATATAGACTACCATTTTCACAACGTGTTGAAGTTGAAAAGCAAATTAAAACAATGCTGTCAGATGGTATTATAGAACCTTCAAAAAGTGAATGGTCTAGTCCCATTTTACTAGTACCTAAAAAGTCAAATGATGAAACAAAAAAATGGAGATTAGTGATTGACTTTCGTAAATTAAATGACAGGATATTAGATGATAAATTCCCACTACCTAATATTACAGATATTCTGGATTCATTATCCGGTGCAATGTATTTTTCTCAATTAGACTTATCTCAAGCTTATTATCAGTCAAATTTAAGTCCCGAATCTAGAAAATATACAGCATTCACTACTCCGTCGGGGCAGTATCAAATGACGCGTCTTCCGATGGGTTTAAAAATTAGCCCAAGTGCTTTCTCTCGTCTGATGACAGTTGCGTTGTCAGGGCTCACCTACGAAAAGTTATTCATTTACCTAGATAATTTAATTTGTTTTGGTCGCAACCTTGAGAGTCACAATAAAAATCTGATAGATATTTTAACTAGGTTACGTGAAGTTAATTTAAAATTGAATCCGGAGAAATGCGATTTCTTACGGAAGGAAATGCAATTTCTAGGTCATATTATTTCTACGGAAGGTATAAAACCAGACCCTGAAAAAATTAATGTCGTTAAAAATTACCCCATACCAGGAAATGTTGATGAAACAAAAAGATTTGTAGCTTTTACTAACTTTTACAGAAAATTTATACCTAACTTCGCAGAAATATCATTACCTTTAAACAAGCTTTGCCGCAAAAATGTTCATTTTGTTTGGTCCCATGAGTGTCAAGAATCCTTTTCTAAGTTAAAGAATGCGTTAATATCTCCACCAATATTACAATATCCAAATTTAGAAGAAAGTAATAGGTTTATTTTGCAAACTGATGCCTCTGGTTATGCAATTGGATCGGTATTATGTAATAGCGATAATAGACCGGTAGCGTTTGCGAGTAGGAGTTTAAATAAAGCTGAAATTCGATACCCTACTATTGAGAAAGAGCTACTAGCTATTGTATGGTCTGTAAAATATTTTAAACCTTATCTTTATGGACGAAAGTTTATAATCAAAACTGACCACAAACCTCTAATTTATTTATTCAACATGACAAACCCATCAAGTCGTCTCACGAAATTTCGATTATTATTGGAAGAGTACGATTATGAGGTTGAATATGTTCGAGGAAGAGACAATGCAGCTGCAGATGCATTGTCGCGTATTCGAATATCGAGTGAGGACTTAAAAGGGATGAATGAACATGTTATGTCAGTATTAACTAGGGCTCAGAAAAAACGACTGAACGAAAATATACAAAATGTGTCTGATAATCCTATGGTTGATAAGGTAGACACCGACAATTGGACTGATCATCCAAGAGTTGTGGATATTCTTAAAAAACCAGAGGATTGTACAGAATTAATATTTGTAGATGAAAGAGAATGGAATAAAATCGACACTATGTCAATGGAAATGTCAGCAAAATTCGCTTATTCTTCATCTAAGTCCGCTGTTTACGTAAATCCTTCTTTCCGATCATATTGCGCACGAGATGCCTTTGTGAGGGAGTTGTGTAACTTATGCAAACGGATAGGAATACATAAAATTTATCTTATTAAAAATGCTAGTAATGAGAAACTAGTAGACGAGTTAACTCGGTTTATAAGAGACACCCCAGCGTGGTCCGGACCACAATTATATATTTTAAAGGGGGTCCAACGAATAAGCGATCACGATACAAAGCGTGTTATACTAAATGACTATCATATGTTACCGACGAGTGGCCACGCCGGTATCAGGCGAATGATAAATAATATTAAAAAACGTTACTTTTGGCCAGGACTAGAGAAAGACGTAACCGAATTTGTAAGTCGTTGTGACAAGTGTTTACGTCAAAAACATTTTAATAAGTACATTAAGCAGCCGATGGTGATAACGGATACAGGACGTTGCACTTTCGACAGAATTTATTTAGATTTAGTAGGGCCCTTATGTAAGGATAGCGATAGTTATATGTATATTCTCACACTTCAGTGTGACCTTAGTAAGTATGTTGAAGCGTATCCGCTTAGAAATAAGGATACTATTTCAGTAGCAAGAGCGTTTGTAAATAATTTTATCTTGCGTTACGGAATGCCTAAGCAAGTTATATCAGATAGAGGCACAGAGTTCGTGTCAACAGTAATGAGGGAAGTGTGTAATCTGCTTCAAATTTCACAGTTGACATCAACATCTTACCATCATCAGTCAATAGGAAGTTTAGAAAACACACATAAACATTTAATGTCTTTCCTTCGTATTCAAACAGATAATGACCCTTATAATTGGAGCACGTGGTTACCATACTGGTGTTTTGCCTTTAACACTACAGTGCACTCCGAAACTAAGTATACTCCATATGAGTTAGTTTTTGGCAGACTTTGTAAATTACCGAGCAACTTAACATCAAATCTAGAACCATTATATAATCATTATGATTACCCTAAAGAATTGAAGTACAGACTACAAAAATCGCAACACGACGCAAGACAAAATTTAGTTACAAAAAAAGAAATTAGAAAAATTAAATATGACTGCAATACGAATCCTATAAATTATAAAACTGGCGATATGATATTACTAAAAAACGAGCAGCGTATGAGCAAATTTGATCACTTTTTTTTTAAGGGGGGAAAATCATCGAATGACTGCTCCCGCCTGGGTGAGGCGGGAGGGAGTGTCAGACTCTTACTGACTAAAAACCACCCCGTTCCTTCTCCTGCACGTCGAGCCGGAGCCCCGGTTACCCGTTAGGTTCTCCGCGACTCCGAATCAGCATCGGCCCTATTGGGCCCCATCTGTGGTGGTCTGATGGCTCTTTGAGGCGCGCGGAACGCGACGCGCCGTACGCTCGACGGCGAGCTACCGATGCTCGCCTTTTGTAATATTGATATAATGGTCTTATAAAAAATTAATTAAAAGATTGATGACTGTTAATGAAGCGAAAGAGGTGTGTAAGAATCGTAGTAATTGGCGTTCCTTAGTCTCTGCCTACCCCCATGGGAGACAGGCGTGAAGTTATGTATGTATGTAACAAATTAATTAATTGCTGTCATTGGTGTAACCGTTGTAATTAATATAAATAAATAAATATAAATAAATTTTGCAATATGAACAACTGTGGAAAATAATGTAACAAAGATCTTGATAACATAATTACCTCATATTTTTTAATAGTCCACTTAGCGTTGTCTCTTGTTTTCCTTTTCTGGACATCACCTTCACGATCTTCGTTTGAGTGTCGTTAGGCACTGTAACATTATAAAAAAAAATATCACTAAGTGACTTCAAAACTTTTTAATCCTTTGAAAAATACATCCTTATTGAGGAATATTCAACCTTAAATAACAAACTTTAGAGTTGACAATCCCTCATTATACGTTTTCTTACCTGGATCCCCACTGATTCTAGGGACGGCTTTCACGTGATATCCTTGCAACTGTCCATTGTGACTCTCTCGTGGCGGTGGCAGCCATGATACGATCAGTTCTCCAGGACTCTCTGTCTGTTGGACTTGCACTCCTAGTGGAGTTGATGATGGTGCTGTAAACGCAATAAGGACGTGTTCATAGTCAAATCATTTAGTTCAATAACCTCGAAAAGGCACACAATATATTGTTTCTCTAGTGATTTTGTTCGCTTGTTCTAAAGTGTATTAGGTAAAGCCAGCGGCTTCGCCCGCGTCTCCAGGGATAAAAAGCAGCCATAATGCTTGACTGCACGGTTGGCGCGGTGACTGGGCAACTGGCTGCCGCGCAACGTGTCGCGGGTTCGATTCCCGCACGGAACAACTCTTTGTGTGATCCACAGATTGTTGTTCCGGGTCTGGGTGTGATGTGTATATGAACTTGTATGTTTGTAAACGCACACACGACACAGGAGAAAATCCGACTTTGGGGCAACGTTTAAAAAAAAATGTTACTCCAGACCATAATCTACATCTGTTCCAAATTTAATCATGGTTCCTTCAGCCGTTTTGATGTGAATGAGTAACAAGCATACACAATTTCTCAAATTTTCACATTTTCAAGCTAATTTCAACCATCGGTCCTATAGGAACAGCGTAAAATCCACTGCGACTAACCTAACATTCGGCAAACTTATATTTGCGTTTGGTACATTAACTGTGTCTAGGGCTTGAGTCGCACAATTAAGTTTGTTTTTGTGTATACTTTTTTGGGATAAAAAGTAGCCAGGGCACAACGCCCAGGATAATAAAGTATAATCATACCAAGTTTCATCGTAATCGGACCGGTAGTTTTTGCGTGAACATATAACAGACAAAAATTCTAAACACATTTTTGGGTTCGGTGTCTATCCAGTAACACCTCTGCAATATATTTTTTTAAATATTTTCAATGTAGAGAATTTATACTTCTACAGTTTTATTATATGTATAGAATAGATATTTTCAACGGGTAGCGCGCGGTCGTTAGGTGGGTTAAAGGAGTGGATACAATATACGTGCGCGGCCGCACGGGTAAAAGCCGCGTTCAGGGCTCCGCTGAGCGCCGGCGCCGGCCGCCCGGCAGGGAGGCGCGCGAACTCGCGCCAGTCGCGCGGACGCCGCAGTGAACACATTTTAATAAGCTTCATGCACAAAATGTACAAAAAGGTGGACTTAATGCCGCAGGCATTTTCTACCAGTCTGACCTTTGGGTGATGCAGAGAAGAGTAAATGGTAGGTGCAAGAGGCAAGCAGTGATTTTATTTAACAAAGAAACTAATATATTTCAGTACTAATATATTAATATAACACATGCGTTTTACTTTCGTCTACCGCGGCTCTCGCTCGCTCCCGTTATCGTGTTTTGTTTCTAGTATTCTGTGTCCCTAATTAAGTGTAATATCAATAATGTCCTGACGCCAATACACAGACTCATAATAAAGTTCGTTCGCTTTCTTTCATCTCCTTTTCCGCCAATACATAATCAACGCATCTGCAACCCAATCTAGTTATAAACGTTAATCTTATACTATTATATAAGGCGGAAGAGTTTGTTTGTTTGTTTGAACCCGCTAATCTCCGTAACTACGGGTCCGATTTGAAAAATTATTTCTGTGTTGGATAGCCCATTTATCGAGGAAGGCTATAGGCTATAAAACATCACGCTACGATTAATAGGCGCCGAGCAGAGCGAGTGAAACCGCGCGGAAGTAGCTAGTTTAGGTATAAGAATAATAATATTACCTTCTTGTTGCGTACTAAAATGTACTGGCTGCGTATACGGACTCAAGTCCACCTGGTTGCCTGATGCTATTCTAACTCTGTAGTCCATAGCTGGCTGCAGATCTCTCAACTCTATACTCTGACGAACATCATTCTCTTGCCTGAAACACAATTTTTTTAAATTAAAATTTATTTTTTGTCAGACACAAGTTACACTACATGTAGACATGGAAACGAACAGCTTTTGCATAAACGGGAACGCGACAGAGGACGCGGGCCCCAAACTAGGCACAGCCTGTTTCTTCGTGGCCCAGTGATAAAAGTTTAGACTATTTAGTTCTCACACCATGGATGTTTGTCACAAATATGGTTTCTGAATTGTCATGTGTATCTACACTAATAAACTAATCTACAATAATCTTATTGGCATCAATATCGGACTAAAATAAGTTTTTTTTTTACAGCATAAGCCGGTAAACGAGCAGACGGATCACCTGATGGTGTGCAATCGACGTCGCCTATAGACACTCGAAACACCATGGAGTTCCAAGTGCGTTACCGGCCTTTTGGGAATTGGGAATTTGACGATTGTGGAGGATTCGGGGATTTAGAAGACGGGGATTAGGGTAATTGGGCCTCCGGTAACCTCACTTACACGACGAAAAACAACGCAAGCGTTGTTTCACGTCGGTTTTCTGCTCGGTCCCGGTATTACTCCGGTCGAGCCGGCCCATTCGTACCGAAGCATGGCTCTCTCACACTTATAAGTGCTATTCTTTCAAAAACTCATACTCATGGCGAGTCCAAACCTTGTCAGACACTTACATGAATTTTAACTACTCATTTTCAACCTCAATCAGTCCTTCAGTCCAAACAAGATCATCATCAATAGGGTAGTTTCCTAAATTTTATTTTAATGTCCGTCTGGTAAAGTAATTTAAAACTTTAGACACGTATTTTTTCTTTTCTCAAAATTAAATACTTTCGACGACATATTAATTTAAAATATCGTGTGACGTCACAGCGTGCCACATTTTGTAACACGTTATGACGTAACGACCTCCCTATCCTAAACTTAGCGCTATTTTATCTAAGTATTGCAACTTAATACGAGAAAGTAAAAAAATACGTGTCTAATATTGTTTAATTATCTAACAGACGGACTAATTAGATTTTTAATTTTGAGACCCTGGAAACTACTCAATTCTTTATAAGACAAAATGATGCATTACCTAGTAATATTCATACTCTTGGCTGTATCCCACATCATAAAGTCGTTGGTCGTGTACTGCAGGGTGTAGTACTGTACATGCGTACTGATGGTGTCTCTCCAGGATAACTTCACTGAGTTACTGGTCACTGAGTCCACTTGAAGGTCTAGAGGAGGCGTTGGGGGCTCTGGAAATGAACTTGCTCTGTTTTAGTATGGGACACTTCACTAGTCACAGAGTCTTGTAGTGACGGCAGGGTAAAATCATCACTCCTTCTCCATGGTATATTTTAAAAGAAATCAACGATAGAAACGAGATGGCTTCATTTCCTTATAATTATGAACCCGACTGCCAAGTCAAGAGTTTAAAAAATAAATGTTATTCCAGTTATTCCATTGACTGCCTCGTTGGCCGAATGGTCGCTAGTGTGACTGCCGGGCAAGAGGTCTCGGGGTTTGGCAAAGTATTTTTTTAAATGGCAATAGGCTCACCCCCTATTACATGGGACTCATAACATAAAAAGGGAACAGTGGGTGACTCAGTGATTACTTGAAAATAGTAATCGATTGTACCGCTTAATAAACTCGTTACTCGTACTTAATTGACTGCGTCGTTGGCCGAGTGGTCGCAAGTACGACTGCCGGACAAGGGGTTTCGGGTTCGATTCCCGGGTCGGGCAAAGTATTACTGGGCTTTTTTAGTCGTAGCACGGAGTCTGGCATTGTCCACTATATGGCAATAGGCTCACCGGCTAACCCTCTATTACATGGGACTCAGAACATAAATAGTAAAAAGTGGGTGTTACATTGTACAGTGGTATTAAGTGCCGTAATGTGCACCTCGGCCTACTCCTACAGGTGTAAAAGGCGCTTTCATGATGGTATGTTATTCCACTTTAAAATTGTCTTCTGTATCGTAGATGCATTATAAATACACAATTTCTCACATCTAGACCCGGAACAATATTTGTGGATCACACTATTGTTCTACCTTATAGACTTCTACTATTTAGTATTCTAGCATTGATAGATTTCTGTATGTAACATAACATAACATCACGCCTTTTTATCCCCGAAAAGGTAGTGCACATTTCGGCACTTAATGTCACTATACAATGTTACACCCACTTTTCACTATTTATGTTATGAGTTCCATGTAAAATAGGGAGTGAGCCTATTGCCATATACCGGGCACATTTCCAGACTCCATGCTACTACTGAGATTTTTGAAAACCCAGTAATACTTTGCCCGAACCGGGAATCGAACCCGAGACCCCTTGCCCGGCAGTCGCACTTGCGACCACTCGGCCAACGAGACAGTTATTTCTGTATGTCTTACCAAGTATATCCAAATGCACATTAAAAGCAGCAACGCCATAGGGATTGCTGGCCCGACACTCGTAAGTCCCTCCGTCTCTGCTCTCCACATAGTTTATGTTGATCAAACTATTCAGCCCATTACGAGTCATCGTTTCTGATATTGTGAGTCTGAAACAAAATGATATATGAAAATTAAAAAATAAACACGTAAAGTCTCTTAATTTTTCGCTTTTAAAACACACTAAAAGATAACACTTTTGATACTTATCATACATACAGAGCCATCTGTGATTCGATCCTAAATACTACTAAGGATGTAAATTAAGACAAAATTTTGTTCTAGCAGTGAACTCTTTTTTGAACGTTAACACAAACCTCGTAGCGGAGGCCTCGTGGACTGGTATATTATAGTTCTATCTCCACTTAATAGATGGCGTTGTTTTCAAATTGCGCGAATCATGTAACTTTTAAGTTTGATATTTCGAGTAAATAGTTTTTCAATGTATTTTCTTTGACTACTAGAAGATTGGAATATCGTAATAATTACCTTGATGATGTAAAATCAATGGCTTTTCCATCTAATGACCATTTGACTCTGATGGGGTTGTCTCCAAGCGGTCTGCAGGTCAGCGTGACAGGGAGACCCATCTTTGTAGTGAGGTTAGCGCCCACTGACTCAAAGTGCACCGGCTCTAGAAATAATTTTGTGGTTAAAATATTATAGTACACATTCATTAGAGACAAGCGGATTGCTGTTGTCTGTATGACTTCTATTCTTATCTTTAAATTATGAAAGTATATTAAATAAACATAAATTTGAAGTGAGTTCATTGGCACTTAAATCGCGAAGTGACCCACATTTTAATGACGTATCTGCAAAAAATTATATCAATAATTCTTTTATAAAAACACCACGTTTTAAACCGACTTCAATACCATTTTTTTAAAGATGGTTATTAAATATAATAAACCCTTCTGCTAAATATAACAACAATTTTTCTGAACACTGCATCAAAATCGGTTCAGCCAATCGCAAGATATTCGCGCACAAACATACATACATACTGGTCAAAATTTCAATTTTTTTTTTGTTAAGTCAGTTAAAGATTAAACTGGGTTTCCTATCTTATGCAAGCTTCAATTTCATGACGGGAATGTTCCAATTGTAATTAAATTAAAGATAGTAAGTTCGAGATTACGTAAATTACTGCATAGCGTTTTATAATATATTTATTTAAACTATATAACATTAAAACTGACGGACTTCGTTGGCCAAATGGTTACAAGTGCGACTGCCGGGCTAGGGGTCTCGGGTTCGCTCAGTGCCGGCGTAAGGGCCACTGACACCCCGGGCGAAAATATTGTGTCGCCCACTTGAGGAAAGCAATATCAAGTGTAAGTTTATTGCTGATCCCAAGTAAAATTATATTAAGAATTTCATCTTTCCTTTAGCGTTACCCAGAGCTAACGATTTTATTTAGGTACATTTAAATTTTTTTTAATATTTTTATTCCTTTTGATTTTTTTTGTCTTACACAAATTTCTTTTCAACTTTGAATTTCTTGCACATTTTTTTACTTTTCATTTAGATTGAACAACTTTCTTAAATAAAAAATAGGCATATGCACAGAGCGCAGAGCACAGTTCTGAGGGTTTGCACCAGGAGAGGCAAGAGACTTCAACTTCAGACTTTGTCGCCCTCCAGAATTTGTCGCCCTGGGCCATCGCCCCATCACACACCCTCCCCTAACGTTCTCTTCCCGGGTCAGCAAAGTAATATTGGGTTTTTTTTATTCTCAATGGTAGCACGGAGTCTGGAATTGTGCCCAATATATAGCAATAGGCTCACCCCCTATTACATGGGACTCATAACATAAATAATGAAAAGTGGGTGTTACATTGTACAGTGGTATAATGTTCACCTTTGGGGGATAAAAGGCATAATGTTATATTATGTTATGTTATAATATAAAAATTGTTAATGTATTTACATTAGTACCTACTCGTGAATTAAATACTCTACAAATAAAATCAGTGAAGAACGTATAAAGCGAATAAACATAGCTAATTTATTTTGTAATTACGTATGAAAGAGGAGAAGTGCAAACAGTTCTCGTATTACAACTCGCCCTACGAAATCGATCAATTTGATTGATGAAACAAATATTTAAGTACCTTTTACCGCTTTATGGACACTCGGTTGGTGCCTTAATGAATTCATTAGAACTCATTTTGGTTTGAATTACTTTCTCACATAGTAATGATACTTTACCCTTTCCCCGATCCCTGAATCCCCAACAATCCTCAGATTTCTAATCCCAAAAGGCCGGTAACGCATTTGTAACGCCTCTGGTGTTCCAGGTGTCCATGGACGACGCCGATTGCTTACCATCAGGTGATCCGTCCGCTCGTTTACCGTCTTATCCCATAAAAAAATGAGCTTTTGTCTCTATCACGAATGTTTAACCTTATCTGTGTAATATTTTTTATGTCCGTTTAGGGCGCCCTCTACCAACGGCCCCATTCATATCCGCTGTGTATATTATGTATATATACTTTCTAAGATTATTTAGACACCACTGACAAACGATGAAGGAGAACATCATGAGGAACCTGGGAAGTTTGAAATCGCACACCCGCAATGTACAAGCGAGTACAAGTTAAATCTATTAAAATTTAATCAAACTTACTATTAACACTAATCCAAAGATTCTTGTTCAGGGCATCGCCCACTCCATTCTCAACGTTGCATGCATACATTCCCTCATCAGAAAGAGATACCACTTCGATAATGAGGGTACCGTTTGGGTAGCTCATCACTCCACCTCCAGCCAAATCCAGGACTGGTCTCCATATACCGAGTGTTGCTGTGAAGCGAGGGAATAAAAATGTTAGTCATATATTACAGGGTAGCTTCGGCTGCTCACATCCACCCGAAGTTCTTCATGTAACTGAACGCCGAAATTATCCGAAAATTGGAAAACTATCACCATATAAGGTCGTCGTGGTGGCCCGGAGGTTTAAGAAACCCCGCTTCTCAGGCATGAGAGTTCAAAACCCACCAACGTGTGACTTTTTCCTGTTATATGTTAGTTATATGTTATATGTACTTTCTAAGATTATTCATTATTACAGAAGTAAAACTTTTCTATTATTATTACATAAAAATTAAATAAGAACAATTATAGCATAGGAAGATCATTTACATGAGACTCGTAACATAAATAGTGAAAAGTGGGTGTTACATTTTACAGTGACATTAAGTACAGTAATGTGCACCTCTGCCTACCCCTTCGGGGATAAAAGGCGTGATATTATGTTATGTTATGTCTAATCTAAGATTATTCAGACACCACTGACAAACGGTGAAGGAAAACATCGTACGGAAACCTAAGCTTATAATTTCTAATTATAAGTTTGAAATCGCCAACCTACATTGAGCAAGCGTGGTGATTAATGCTCAAAACCTTCTGCGTGTGAGAAGAGACTTTGCTCAGCAGTGGGCATTTATAGGCTGTTGAAGCTCATGATCATGATAAGTAGTATTTAGTACACCTCAGTTTGACTTTATCACGTTTTAAATATCGTGCATGCATGACGATCCGTAAAATGGAGCGAACTGGGTGGACGCGGACAAGCGAACTTATTCCATTAAACTTTTTTTTAATGTAAGTAATATAACGTCTGTTGTTCTTCAAACGTGTAAATAGAGATGTACTTACAGTAGATTTATTTTAATTAAAACTAGAGAAATAATGTTACAAACTCTTAACATAGCTTTCTTCGCCAGTCTGTTTAAGTTACAGCTAATAGGCTACTGTTTGCTTACTACTTATTATTTTAAGTATTCTTTTTAACGGGACTAGTTTATTTTATTACTAGCTGCAAAGTTTTGCTTAAGAAACAGACAATGAGTAAAATGCAATATTATATGTGTAAATATTTTAGTTATTTGTATTTATAATATTAATATTACTTTGAAGTAGATATATGCATAAAGATTGATCTTAAATAAAATAGTGTTTTACAAATAAAAAAAAAACACAAATCCATATTATTTTGCTCAACAAAACTCGAAATACCTTGATTTTTATCACACAAACATAGTAACAATCAGATTAATATACATCCGAATTTGACCCTACTTAGCATGAGACATCTTCATCATATTACATTACTAGCTACTTCCGCGCGGTTTCACACGCTCTGCTCAGCTCCTATTGTTCGTAGCGTTGTGTTGAGGTTTTATAGTCTATAGCCATCCTCGATAAATGCACTATCCAACACAAAAATAATTATTCAAATCCGACTTGTAGTTACGGAGATTAGCGCGTTCAAACAAACAAACAAAAAAACAAACTCTTCCGCTTTATATAATAGTACATAAGTATATATGTAAAATAATTTAATACGACCTTAAACACCAAAATTCTAGGCGCACTAACAGTTTAACACAGACTATTGATCGTGTGTAAATATTTCACTCACCGTCCCTCTTCATCCAATGTATTTGCGGCGTTGGATAGCCGTTTGCATTGCAATATACCACGCCACGTTGTCCTAACAGCAGCGAAGTGTTAGTTGGTTCTTCTATCCATTTAGGTGCCACTGTAAATTAATTTTTAATGAATTATTTTCTTGTAAATAATAAATGTTGGTACTTTTTTACACCTAAAGTTCTCTTTAGGTGTAAAATGATGGGAAATTAATGAGAATGACTTGAATGTCATTAACATGCAATTTTTGTAACTTAAATATGTTAATGAACAATAACTTTTGGAGTTTTGTAAAGAGCGAAAACTTTTATTCTCTAGTTTAATGTTTAAGGTAACGTCTTAACGTTTTCTGTGTTATATTATGTGTCTCTATACGCAACGTTTAATAAAAATAAAATAATTGTCAACTTAAATGTTGCACTAAAATATTATTATGAGTTTTTGGGCTTAACAAATGCGTTTGACTCACCATTAATATAAAGATCAGCAGTCTGGTTAACTTTACCAACATGGTTAGTTGCTATACACGTATATTTACCACAGTGTTCTAAAGACACGCGTTTTATTATCAAAACGCTGAACAACTCCGAACTTCTTTCTGTTATCTGTAAAAAAACTAGGGAGTTACTCAAGGCTGTATTATGGGTCCTATATTGTTGGTAAATCTATTTTTTGTTTTATATTTGAATATACTACTATCTCGCTTGATGGTAAGCGATGATGCAGTCTACCGTGAAGTACGTCAATCCTTAAGCAACTTATTCACTCGGGCCATGAAGACACCCATACCCTTTAAGAAACACAGACTCTGGCAAGGATTTCTACTCCTTAGCAGTATGCACAAGGAAGCTTGATGCGAAGCGCTTCGTGCTTTGACATCTGGTGGGACATCTACCATGAATCGGTGATGCTTCGCTGATTGTCTTGTGGTACGATGATAGAAAGGACTAGGGGGAATCAAGTTGTGCAATAAAATGAGGTACCTATATAGCAAGAGCAGTGCCAATTAAATAATATTTTTACGTCTAATGCACTTATTATATCTACATTTTAGCAAAAGAATTTAGCAAACCTTTAAACTAGCTGGAAGTTTCTTTCCATCCTTGAGCCAGGAGAAGTAAATGGGTGGGTCACCGCTGATAATGTTGCAAGTTATCTGAACTATTTGGCCTTCCTTCAATCCACTGCCTACTCGCAGCTCATCTAGTTCTGGCGCTTCTACCACTTGAATTTCAAACGACCTGTGAAGTAGTAAAACAATTATAGTTATTTTCATCCCGCGGCAAAACAACTTGCCATAAGGAGTACTTTCGATGTGTGTATAAAGTAAAAACAAAAGGTGTAATTTTTTTACTTTAAACATATTTTTTTATGGAAATACACACACGAAACACTAGACGTAAATTAGTAGGTACTATTTGCATCGCACGTGCCATCTGACGACGTGCCATCTATCAAGAAATACCTCTTCGAGAATTACATTCGTGATTTAGGAAAATTATTTAATTTTTATAGAATAGGGGAAATTAGCAGACTGATCACCGAATGGTAAGTAAGAGATCAGCACCGCTAATCAAGACACAACAACAGAAATTATAAGTACGAACAAAATTCATACCTTCTAGCCATTTCTCCTGACGGAGAATACACAATACAAGTATACGTATCCCCGTTTTCTTCTTTTAAAACTCTCGGTATATTCAGTACGCCATCAGCTCCCGTCTCAAAGAGCTGTCTTTTCTTCCGTTTTCTCCTAGTATTCTTACTGTTATTAGAAGTAGTTGAGTATGTTCTTTTGTATCTAGAGTGTTGTGGGAGAGTGGAACTAATAATCTTCTTTCCTTTATGTTCCCATTCTAGTTTGCTGTAAATTGAAATCATTTTTGTATGTTTTGCACTAACAAACTACGGTCAGTCGAGTTTGTAACTTCATGCTTTCATGCTAATTTATTTTGTTACTGCTGCACTTAGATAAATGTTGAACTTTTTTTACTGTTTACAACATAACATAACATCACGATTTTTATCCCAAAGGTAGGCAAAGGTGCAGATTACGGCACCTAACACTACTGTAGGTAGGTTGAAGGTCAAAGTTAAAAAGGTTTATAATTATTAGGAAATGAAGCCAACTCGTTTCCATCGTTGATTTCTTTTAAAATATACCTAGGAGACGAAGGACATAACATAACATAACATCACGCCATTTTATCCCCGAAGGAGTAAGCAGAGGTGCTCATTACGGCACTTAATGTTACTGTACAATGTAACACCCACTTTTCATTATTTATGTTATGAGTCCCATGTAATAGGGCGTGAGCCTATTACCTTATACCGAGCATAATTCCAGACTCCGTGCTACTACTGATAATTTTTGAAAAACTCAATAATACTTTGTCCGATCCAAGAATCGAACCCGAGACCCTTCTCTTGCCCGGCAATCGCAGTTACGACCAGCCGGCCAACGAGAAAGACAACAAAAAGGAATATTCTGTATGTAGTTATGTCCCATATAACAGGGGATGAGATTAGTACCGTATACCACAATTCTAGACTCCTTGCTTCTACTGAGATTTATTTAAAAAAAATCTAGTAATACTTCACCCGATCCGGGAATCGAACCCGAGACCCCTTGCCCGTCAGTCGCAGTTCTGACCACTCGGCCAACAAAGCAGACTGATTACAAGTGAAGTGTTTATAGATTATGCAGTTGAATTTAAAGTGAGACGAAACGAGAATTGGAGTATATATAACTGTTACCTAATGGGATATCCATAGTAAGGACACCTCAACTTCAATGGTTCTCCACTCTGAACTTTAATTGGTGGCAACGTTCTTATATATGGAGGTCCTGAAACACATTATTGCATACAGAAAATAAGAATTACCCACCATATCTTTAACAGATACATAAAACCACCTATTTAAAATAAAAAAAATGACATCGTATTTTTTTATGGGATAAGTCGGTAAACGAGTAGACGGATCACCTGATGGTAAGCAATCGGCATCGCCCATGGACACTTGGAAAACCAGAAGCGTTACAAGTTGAGGGATTGGGGATTCAGGGATTGGGGAACGGGGGGAGGGGTAATTGGGCCTCCAGTAGCCTCAATCACGTGACGAAACATAAAGGAAGCGTTGTTTTACGTCGGTTTTTGGTGAGACCGTAGTATCACTCTGGTCAAGCCGGCCCATTCGTGTCGAAGCATGGCTCTCCCACACTCGTGTCTAATACTTGATGAAATATCAACGTTATCTTCTGTTAAGAATCTGACACATACGTGCTGCCATCATCATCACAGGTCAGCCCAAACTGTAGTGGATCTTTCCTCAAAAGACAACAACAGAATCGACTTGCATGGTTCTCGAACGTTTTAGTTATAACTGTCTGGACTTTAAAGAGACAATGACCTCTGAGTTTGTTTCGGAGTTTCTTCTCAGAGTAATCAGTTCGGAAAGACAGCCTTCATCTAGTAATTTAAAGATTGACGTGTAGTAGTCTTTATAACCTATTTCATTTAAGTTGAAGTCTTACCAAAAACATCAATTCTAGACGAATGTCCTGTATTGGAGTCACCTTCCAGAGCTAAGCAGGAGTACAAGCCACCGTCTTCTACCCTTGCCCTCGTGATGTTCAGCTGTGACACCACACCGACTCCGGTCGGTGACATCATCTGACCTAATGTGTACCTGGAAAACAATGATACAGGCTATCACCAAGGCGTGCTATAAAAGAGTTTAGCGCACTGTAATGAGCTGATGAAGTTCACGATGATTATGTTAATGATTTCGAATAACATGATGTATTTCTTTTTGTTCTTATATTTGATGGACCGACGTTTGATCACTATTTCACCTGGTGATGTGGTTGTATGATGACGATGATGTAATTTCTTAATATGTATAATCACCTTTCAGTCAGTCTCTAAAAAGAACTATCCAAAATTATGTTGAGTCATGCACTAGAAGAAATTTTACCATCGCATTTTTCGTTTTTATTTTTAACTTTTTAGCCAAATATTTGACATTAACATGTGTGAACACCATTATACTTCCACTAAAGATGATTATTTATCGACGTTCATCTATCTTACTATTTTTATCGTTTTCTGTAATATAGAACGAATAATTTTTAAAAATAACGGTCAATAAACAAATTGCACATTTTGTTGTTCTTAATACAAACTCGACGCCGACACTGGCAGTTTATATTTTTATTTCAAACGTTATTCCAATTTATATTTCGAATTCTCTACTTCTACGTATTCGTTATTTGAAATAAACTTTTCGTAACAACCATTTTTTAGAACAAAAACGTCCTGTCCAGGCTTAATTACTTATTTGTTTAGAAAAAACGAACGAACTACAAAATTGATTTGGACTCAGTATTGTCGTTTGAATTCGTAAAAAGTTGAAGGTTCATTATTAAAGTCAGTATATTTTGTTGGCGTAAAAACTCACTCTGTATAACCTTCATGGAATAGATAGGTAAAACGCAATAGTAATCATATTTGCGTTTCGAAGCTATAAACATGTTTATTAATATAAATTTACTTTTAAAGGTACGAATACTCAGTTCTTGAGGATGATCGAGCATGGTCTATGAATTTACTTTTGATCTACTTCTCAATCTATACAGTACTATATCTATAAAGTTTGTAATATTAAAAATAACAGCTTTTATGAATATCCATACCAAAATAAGACTTTGTGCAATTTTTGTCTGTCTGTCATTCTGTTTGTACTGCCTAATCTCTGGGATGGTTGGACCAATTTGCAATACTTTTATTGGCAGGTACCTGATGTACTAACGAGTAGCATAGTCTACTTTTATTTTTAAAAATTGAAACAGAAAGAAAGTTATGTCCTAAAATTCAAATACTACGCGGACAAAGTCGCGGGCAACAGCTAGTTTTAATAGAAATTACAGTTCAACATATTATCGTCAACTGGTACTTTATTAAACTATTGTTATCAAGACTTCTTACCTTTGATCAGTATTCGGAGAAATAACAACTCCATCCCTTTCCCAAATGAACCTTGGAGGTTTGTCAGCTGTAGCAGTACATTGAAGACTTATCTGAAAATAAAATATTAGCTGACTTATCTCGCTATCACTTGAATTACTATATGAGCGACACACGGCTACACATCGAGTTTTACATAACCAGTATAAACTGAACGTTAAATGTGCGGAAAGATGATGCGACCCGACACCAGGATTAACTGGTTTTGAATAGATTGATGTGTGGCCGTGTGTAGGTGATCATGTGAACTCGAGTTCCCGATCAAGCCCTTAACTGAAATAAGGTACTTTCCTTAATCAAAAACAAATTATTTCGACTGTTCAATACAATAAAATATAAAAAACAAATCACACTTTCATTAATTGATTTTATTACCAACTTGATTTTAGAATTTAACCAGCAATGTTCTAAGAAATAAGTATGCTGTTTGACGTTAAAAAAACGTGACGTCACAATACACAATCTCGTATAAAATTCATAGAACAATGTATTTTTGAAAGTTCAAAATAGGATTGAATTTTACTAGTTGGGAAGTACCAAATTATTGGCATAATAATGTTTTTTTTTTTGTACATTCTTAACTAGCGACCCGCCCCGGCTTCGCACGGGTGCAATATGCATGATATAAACCTTCCTTAAGAATCACTCTATCTATTAAAAAAAACCGCATCAAAATCCGTTGCGTAGTTTTAAAGATCTAAGCATACATACGGACATACAGCGAAAGCGACTTTGTTTTATACTATGTATTGATTTAAATAGTCAGTTCATTAAATAAAAAAGCCGAACTTATGACCTGTAAATTACTGTGAAACCTGGTTAAGTGACACATCAAGGGACCTGCAATGTCGTTTCACTTAAAGAGGTATTCCACTTACCCAGTGTCTCAGATATACAGGTATAAATAAATATTTGTCTCATTTACAGAGGGTTCGATTAATAGAGGTGGACTTGGAATTACGTGTGGAATTTGTGGGTAGAATAAGAATGAGTAAACAAACAATGTTATCTCAGTTACAGAGGTTTATGTATATAAAATTTATTCGCTGTCTCAGTTATAGAGGTAACTATGATGATAAATCGAAAGAATAAATCCTAGATATAGAGGTTTACCTCGTCCCACTAACAGAGGTAATTCAGTGCCAGGTCCCACCTAACCAAGTTTCACTGTAGTAGATAATAAACTTAATTGAGTTAGATTATTCCTTACCTCATCACCAGGGCTTAAAACCTTGTCGCTAAAATGTTGTGTGATGATAACATTGCCAGATCCAAGGTCCCTCTTAGTCCTTATGAAGTGTACATCTGAAAAATAACATTATTTTAAATCTACATTTCTATAGAAATATTAATAAAAAAAATACGGTACGTTAGTAAAGAACAGAGTACGTGTTTGGTGCTCTGATTGGCTGGCTCTTTTGAACCAACCAATCAGAATGTCGGACGCGGCCTCATGTCGATGTCTTTAAACATAGAACAAACTCATACCAAGGCCTCAGAGCACAATGGTTCAAAAATAAAACTCAATTTAAAAATATTAATATTTTCTTTAGAAGTCAATAACCCGTAAATGTTTTGTCATGGACCATCAACCAATTCAATGCCATTCTATCGTTTCCACAGAGCACGAGGATTATATTTTTTTTTATATGGTAACTTTTACGCAACTTTTGTGACTTTTTTGTTGAACGAAAAGACAAAAATAATTAAAGTAATTAAAAAAATTGTTTAATTGTATGGATATATTTTTTTTACTCTCTGCCTCGTTGGCCGAGTGGTCGCAAGTGCTGCTGCCGGGCAAAGTATTACTGGGTTTTTAGAAATCTCAGTAGTAGCACGGAGTCTGGAAATTTGCCCGGTATATGGCAATAGGCTCACCCCCTATTACATGGGAGTCATAACATAAATAGTGAAAAGTGGGTGGTACATTGTACAGTGGCATTAAGTGCCGAAATGTACACCTCTGCCTACCCCTTCGGGGATAAAAAGGCGTGATGTTATGTTATGTTATATTTTTTTTTATTTTATCTTAAAACATGCATTTGAATGTTAATGCGTCCATTTATAATAAGTAGGTATTTAACAACTTACGTTCATCTGCGTAGCTCTCAGAAATTCTTTGCTCTTCTATTCTTTGTTTATTTTGTCTGTAAGTAAAAACAGAAAAAATATTAATAATAGTATAATTCTACCGTATTAATGGTTCGTACAACTCGTTCAATTCTCAGTACGGAATATCACGTATTTAAAATCCTACTGCATCAAGTCTTATTCTTTGAAACTAATATGAGCAAAGAGAGTATAATTATATATATTTTTTGGAATTCTCCATAATATCATACGAGACTAAAATTACATTTTGAATTTGTGTACCTATTAAAATACTCGGAATATTAACTCGGAACATGAGATCATGTGTGTATGACAACGTTATTCAGACGGGACAGGACATTATAATGTAACGGGACAAAATATGCTGAAATAATTTATTTCAGTCTATGCATACTCCATAGTCCATACTACTATTACAATTTTTTACAAATATAATAATTAGTAAAAGTGTTCTATAATTATACAAGGTGTAGTTTTGAAGTCGTGTCATTTCTTGGCGGCATGTCACAGAAGTCATAAAGGTTCAATGTAAGAGAAAGTTTCGGGCAAATAGTTAAAAATACGGTTATAATAAATCGTTTAAGTTCGACAGTATTTCAGAATAAGCGACAGCAATGTTTCTTATTGGAGTTTTGTGGAATTAGGAATAATATCAATTACGTGTTTGAGTTTGTGTGTGTTAAGCCGCGTTATAAAGCTAGTTACAAGACGGCGACGTGTAGTTCGCACTTACGGATTTCCGTAATTTACTCATAATCGATAGTCGAGTTACCTCCCAGAAAATGACGCGGCTTTTTTTAATTTAATGCGAAGGACAGAACATTGTAAATAAGTCGTTGAACATTTTCTCATCGAGTATCTAATTAAAAATCAATTCAAATTAAATGATTGTCCAGCTCCTCGCATTGCGATAAAAAGTATATTATAAATAAATTGTAATAAGTATCTATCATCGTGTGGAGAAATACAGAAATTCGTTTTACTTATTTAGTACGTAATTATGTAACTTTCATTATATGAATTTAATAACGGTTACACCAACAACATAATTATATATATAAGTATACAAATTGGCTTACACCACAACAACATATGCCAGACTTAGTAATCAACTAGTTCCTAGAACACTAAACAAAACAATATGTTGCGAAACCCTGACTATAAATTCAAATTGAGGCCAAATTATGCAACAGCACGATCCACCATGTACGGTAATTTCATTAATCTAAGTTTAATTTATGCATAGTTAAGTTAACTGCTGTTAAACTGCGCTGGTTAGTAATTATACTTTGTTAGGGTTTATTTAGTTTGTCGTTGATTTTAGGGAAATTTTAGTTTATAGGGGATTTTTTATGTGCTTTCGTGTTTTCCGGGGTGGATTATTGTATTAAAATCTTGTTTGCCAGAGTAATTTAATGAAAGTTTGGTTTGTTTGAGTCATGGTGACCTGGAGGTTTAAGACGCCCGTTTCTCATACATGATGGTGCAGATTCAAAACTTATCAACGACAAGTACCAATGTGACTTTTCCGAGTTATACGTATTTTCTAAGATTATTTAGATACCACTAACAAACGGTGAAGGAAAACATCGTGACGATAACCTGGGCTTATAATTTCTAATTATAAGTTTGTAATCGCCAACCCGCATTGAGCAACCGTGGTGATTAATGCTCAAACCTTTTCCGTGTGCGAAGAGGCTCTTGGTCAGCAGTGGGCATTTATAGGCTGTTGTTGATGATGATTTTCTGGTTAACACCGCATTATGATGTCAGAGTAGAATAGAAAGCCCATAAGGAATTTTACTAATGACTAATTGATGACGAATTGTCTTATAAATTTGAGATTAACTCGTCGAGTACCGTCATTATAGACACAATTATAGAACAATAGGTTGCGGTCACCGGTGACCGCTTGGTGTTTGACAGTTTAAAAGTAAGTATCGCTGTTGAGTGTTGACCTACCGAAAGTAAACAAAACCAATATTAATGCACTTTCCCCATTATAATGACGATTAAACCGAGCTGTCACCGGTGACCGCAACCTATTGTTCTATAATTGTGTCTATAATGACGGTATTCGACGAGTTAAAAAGAAAACTTAATCAATACACGACAAGCTATTTGGATTGATCAATCAGCTGTTTAAAAACATGTCGGGCACAGAATAAATGGACTGTCAGGCGTACCTCAAGTTTGCCTGACACTCGATTACGTATCGCCGGTGGAATCAGCTCTAAATTCAACGGGAATAAAATGTACGGAGCCACGTACATTTCTGGGTATAAGAGAGACGATAAGAATTGGTGTTTTTTTCAGTGGTTTTGAAATAAAATCTTATCTTATACCATTATATAAAGCGGACGAGTTTGTTTTTTTGTTTGTTCGTTTGAACGCGCTAATCTCCGTTACTACAAGTCGGATTTGAATAATTCTTTTTGTGTTGGATAGCGCATTTATCGAGGATGGTTATAGGTTATAAAGTATCATGCTATGATTAATAGGCGCCGAGCAGAGCGAGTGCAACCGCGCGGAAGTAGCTAGTGTATGTATATTTATGCGCAATTATCTCGCCATTGGTTGTACCGATTTTAATATACCAAACCTTCTCCTCGAGTGTAACAGACACTTTTCTTAAACTCGCATCGAAATCGCTTCAACCAATCGTGAGATATTTGCGCCCAAAAATACATACATACAGGTCAAGCTGAGAGCCTCCTACCTTTATTTATATACTAGCTACTTCCGCGCGGTTTCACACGCTCTGCTCAGCTCCTATTGGTTGTAGCGTGATGTTTTATATCCTATAGCCATCCTTGATAAATGCGCTATCCAACACAAAAAGAATTATTCAAATCAGACTTGTAGCTACGGAGATTAGCGCGTTCAAACAAACAAACAAAGAAACAAACTCTTCCGCTTTATAGAGGTATAATAGTATAAGATAAGATATAAGATTTACGCTAGTGTTCTTTGGCTTCTATGAAACTGAGAACTTTGCCTGTTCTCATAAACTAAAACGAACTACAAGTTCAACTAAGAATTCCAAAACAGAAACACCAAATAATAAACTATAAATCCCAGTGGACAGACAATAAAATTACAAACAAACGCTAAAAGGAAAGCAAAATAATTCCTATGAGTATAAATATAGAGTATATTATAGTATGCACTGCAATGTTACAAGCATATCGATATGGCGAGCCGTGCCAATGCATAGTAATGTAGACTCAACTGAGTTGCAGAACTAACATTTCTAATAATGGATGCAGACCAAATACTTTTCGATCGATAAATTTTGTTGAGGGAAAATTGGTAGTTTTATTTCTTAAGGAGACTAAGTAAATAGGGTAGATGACTAATTTTAATTTTAATGTCCGTCTGGTAGATTCTGTTAAAACATTACACACGTATTTTTATTTTGTTACAGAAACGAATACTTTCGACGATAGGTATATTGATTTGAAATGTCGCGTGACGTCACTTCTATGTACATTTTATACGTAGAAATGACGTTTTAGCCCTCACTCCTAAACTTTGATACGTTTTATCTAAGTATTGTTTTATTATACGACAAAATAAAAAAATACGTAGTCTAATATTTTTTCATTACCTAACTGATGGACTAATTAGATTTTTAATTTTCGTACGCTGCCATCATCCCTATTGGTTTTTTTTATATTGTTTTTGACGTGACAACGTCTTAAATTAGGTTGCGGCTGGGAGTCACTTATGAAAAAGTGTAACGCTCGGTAACGTTACGATGAGTCACCGAACGAGAGAGAGGCCCGCCGAATGCCTTGCGTCTCTCTCCCACTCAACTATGATCGGTCTGCCGCGCGCGCAGCACTAGTTCATTCAATTCCTTGTTCCTATTGTGCAATTTAATTATATTCATATCAATAAATATTCTACCGAGAAAAAGACGTTGTCACGTAAAATCTTCGCCCGTAAAAACGACTTTACAGGCAACCATTTTTTTAATTGTTATTTTTCTTTTGTCTATTTGATGCAACATGCCTCATTACCTATCCTTACTAATATTATAAATCGGAAATTGAGTTTGTTTGTTTGTTCCGCTTTCACGCAGTAACTACGAAACCGATTGCTTTGAATTTTTGCAGACGTAAATTCGAAGTCCGGATTAAATAATAGGGTACTTTTTATCCCGGAAAAATTTGATATTCCCGAGGGAAAACAAAAGTATTGGTATAGATGGCGCTGTGTGTATTGGTATATATCACATAGGCTACTTTTTATCCTTTTGTAACGCGAGCAAAACTTTTTCCGGGATAAAAAGTATCTTATTATTTAATCCGGACTTCGAACTTTACGTCTGCAAAAATTAAAAGTAATCGGTTTAGTAGTTACGGCGTGAAAGCAGAATATTAGTAAGAATTTTTTACTGTGAGGAGCTGGAGTCTGTGTTAGGCATAAAAACCTGTATTACAAATCTCCAGGTCCCCCACCCCACGGAAGAACAAGAAGTGTAACATAATAAATATAAGATGTATTACAATTAAGTTTGCGAACATAAACACAAAGGAATAGGAGAAAAAAAAAAAATTCGGGTAGAAGAAAAAAAAAAAGATTATTCTTAAAGCTTTCACATTATTACTTTGCTTTAAACAATATACCCTAATTATTCTACACTAGCTAGTATAACAATAATTTAAAAAAAAACATGGCCGCCCGCCTTACATTTGCACAAGAACAACGCCACATTCACTCACAGCGTTCATAACTCAAAAGTATTACGTCTGCCTAGAAAAACAGTTGCATAACAGAACTGCTTCTAACTAATATGATGCAAAATTTAGATGAATATGCTTTGTGAATTGTGAATAACTTGAAGTAAATGTGTGGACTCTGGAATTTGTGTTTCAACTGGGTGAAAAGTAAACAGGTTTGTTCTGGAACAATCTAGTTTCTATTTTCTTTTTCTTTTTTGAAATGGTTATGGAGTGGCTACGTTCCATTTTCAAATGAGGCGGTAATGAGTTAATGTAATATTTTTTTTAAAGGGGGAAAAAGCATCGAATGACTGCTCTCGCCTGGGTGAGGCGTGAGGGAGTGTCAAACTCTTACTGACTAAAAACCACCCCGTTCCTTCTCCTGCACTTCGAGCCGGAGCCCCGATAACCCGTTAGGTTCTCCGCGACTCGGAATCGGCATCAGCCCTATTGCTCCCCATCTGTGGTGGGCTGGCCCTTTGAGGCGTGCGTGGAACGCGTCACGTCACGTCGGGCGGCGAGCCACCCATGCTCGCCGTTTACAAGCCTGCGCTTACGGTGGCCGGAATGTAATATAATATAGGACAATTTTATTATTTACGTGATTACAGATTCCGTTCTAGCACTGAGGATTAAAAATTATTTTTTTATTTTATACTTCGATACTTACTTTGATATGTGTGTATTCGTTCTTGCATTACGCTCTAGAGTACCTGTAGAAGAAAATAAATAAATTAGTTTACAGAAAACCACAGTTCGTCGATCAAGTATCATTAGGTATTATTTGTCAAAATGTAATGGAAAATCTACAGAATTTAGTAGGGTAACGAAGGAATGAAGAAGACTGTACTTTTATTTTCGCGCACTGGGGGTAAGTGAGAGAAACACTGAGAGTCCATGTAGGTACTAGTAAATTTATTGCTAATCAATGCCAAACTCAAACTAACACAAAAATTTCGAATGGGGTAGGTGTATCGACGGAGAATCTTAATACCGCGATGTACATTGTGACGTATTTTAACAACGCCATCTAGTTTCGTGCGGCAGAACTATTTAACTACAAACAAAGACAGTCGACACTTATGACCATAAACAAGTTTGTTTTTAGTTCTACTGGTATAACCGAACTAAATAATGAGAAATTAATTACCACGCTGGAAAGCAAAAGCAATATTATCTTGAAACACTATATTTTAAATGGGATGTTTAATGTGAATTTATAAAGAAAATGTGGTTCGATAATTATGTAGTTTATTTAACACGTCTATAAAAATCCCATATCGTTGATCTTTTAGATCAACTAAAAGAAAAAAAATTACAATCAATATTTATTCAGAAATGTTCTAAAAATATTTAATGTCAAAAATCAAAAATGGTTAATATTATACGTAGTTGGAAGCCCATAACGATGCGTTTCCCCTGAATCTTTCTACCTCGCACAAGAAAACTGTGGAATGATCTATCGTCTGCAATATTTTGGAACCGATATGACCTTCAAACATTCAAGAAAAGAGCGTATATCTTTTAAAAAAAGCAAAGCATCTCACCGGCAAGGTACCTCTGACACCTCTGGGGTTGCGAATGTCCATGGACGGCGCTAATCGCTTACTACTAGGTGATGCGTCTGCTCGTTTGCCTCCCATTCCATAGAAAAAAAAGACTAATCGGAATCTTGGCTTCAAAATCTCTTTCTCATCTACGTTAAAAACCATTTCTTACTCCTCAAACAAATCTCTCTTCACCCAACTCCAAAAACCAACTAGGAACTTCATGGCTAACAATGGATATTCTTCGAGAAGTTTCTAAATGTACTTTGAATCACTTTCACGGCTCTCCAGGGTAGTCATACGGGTATTTGTAGAAGTCGATCAAGTTGACAAAAGTTTAAAACATTATTTGACTCCAGGGGAAGCTAAAGTAAAAGGCTGTCTGCATGGATGGGAGTTTGGAAGTTCATTTGAAAAAATTGGGTTCTATTAGTAGATAAAAAATTGCCTTGTTGGTCAAACTTAGAGACGACTGTCGAGTAATGCATTTGTGTTCGATTGGGCAAAAGATTTTTGGGGTTTATCGTCTCGTTTTCTTCGGTGTTTGCAAAAAAATTGCCGAGACTGGGAAGCGAACATGTTACATTTTACTTAGCAGTCACTTTTGCAACTAACTAGGCAGTTTTCAAATTCAGACCTCAATTATATTTTGTTGAACGTAAAGATGGATCCTTATATTAATATATCTCTATATATATAATTCTGTTGTACGTGTGTATTTCATTGAACTCCTCCTAAACGGCTTCACCGATTTAAATGAATTTTTTTGTACGCGTTTGAGTGGCGCCCTGGATGGTTTAGATTCACAAATCAGCCCGGCAGATAGCGCTACAGTCGGTTTCTAGGTTAGTTATCGTAAACGGCTGAACTAATTTGAATGAATTTTTGTTTATACATTCAAGTGGATATGCAGGACAACGTCTGTCGGGTCCGCTAGTATACATATATATATAATTAATATGCCAATGTTAGCCATTAGCAAAACCATACAGTAATTATCGTTAGACCAAACATTATCAATTTTGTCTTCAATATTTACAACCGTCAATCCAAAGATCGTATCTAATTTGCATCAAATTAATGTCAAGTCGCACTTCAAAGACACTAGCGCTCAATCGCTCGGCGGCTTAAATTGGAACTAACTTTATAACGGTCTTTCAATCGAGATTCGAGTCGCTCGCCATTGATTGAATATCAGTCAATCGATTTAGACGATTGGAGAGAGCTGTCAGTGTGGTAAAAGGTTGTCTGTAAAATGTGTTGTTTTATTACAATCTATATTCATAATGTCGTCAAGGGATACGGTAGACTCGATCGAAACATTACCTGAATAATAAAACATAAAAAATATCGATTTTGAGTCGACAACTTATATCCGCAAAATTCGGATTACTGAGATTATTTCGTTTTATTAATTCGTTTTAATGACACTGACAGACAAACTGCAGTCGCCATCTTAAGTAGACAATAAACGTTCCGTTTCATACTAGCTCTCAAATATGCCTCACCAATCAACACGTTGCCGCGTCAAAAAAGTATAAATTAACAATAAATTATGAATAATTTCACGCGAACGAAGTCGCGGGTAACAGCTAGTAGATAATAATGTCCAAATAATATTAAAGAGAATTATAAATTATATTCGATATTTTTTGTATGGAATTGTGATTTTTTTTGTAAATAGTTTAACGTACTTATGACAATAAGCAAGTCCAATATTTTTTTTTTTCACTTCATGTATCGTAAAACATTTTTCAATCAAACTTGAAACGAAAAACGTGTGAATTTCTTCATCAGAAAATTTTGTAATTTACTTAATAACCGTACACCAAAAATGCCGCATTAAGGACAAATAAAAAAAAACAAAACTACGTTACCAATCTTGTAGTTCCAAACTTAAAATCATAAAAAGCTAACCGACTTACCGGTAAAAAAATAAACGTTAAAAAAGGGGTAAAAACTAAAAACTGGAATCCAGCAATTTCCAAACGGTTTAGTTTAAAAGTACCCACTAGTGAACTAACTCCCGATGCACTGGAAACTTTCCGTTGCCTGTGGTTGCGGCTAGTGATGCGACTAATTAGTCGAGTTAATCGATGCTTGTTGGGAATCGACTACGTTGAATGTTGATGAAAAATCAAGTGGGTAATGTGATTTCATTTTATTGCTATTTTTTGCCAAATGCTAGTGACAAATTTGAATGCATAAATACATTCCTAGCTACTGGTTACAATTTTTTTTATTATAACATGGTGACCGAAATTTTATCTAAATGTAGGTATAGCAATAATTACCAAATCTCACCATGTAACTTTAACTGACAAAATGAGGACTAACATAATTCTGTAATATAATATCATCACGCCTTTTATTCCCGAAGGGGTAGGCAGAGGTGTACATTATGCCACTGGACAATGTAACACCCACTTTTCACTATTTATGTTATGAGTCCCATGTAATAGGGGGTGAGCCTATTGCCATATACCGGGCACAATTCCAGACTTCGTGCTACTTTTTTTATTTATAAAAACCCAGTAGTACTTTGCCCGACCTGGGAATCGAACCCGAGACCCCTTGCCCGGCAGTCGCACTTGCGACCACTCGGCCAACTAGGCAGTCTTCTGCAGCATAATTCTGTAAACATGTCATTATCTTGGAATTACTCACAAATCTAGCCACAGTTCTATCTTTAATCGTAATCCTAATAAATTACATTTCCATGTCCTTAATAGCTTCCTGGTATTGTAAAACCTATCTAACAATAGACAAACAAATGTCTTTGATTTCCTTTCACAAAGTTAAGGTTTACAAAATAAATTATCATGAATTTGTGACCGTAAACATCATAAAATATATCACTGTCAATATATAAATTATTCGACTAAATCGACTACTTGATTCGAACGTTCCCAACACTATTTCCTCCCGGTAAAGTTTCCTGCTTCCGGACCACTAATCTATACTAAACTTTGTTAATAACTACGCCAATTTAGACTTTATGTACATAGCAATAAGGCGGAGAAGGTAAGTAAAATAAAATTTGTTTGAAAAAAAAGTTTAGCGTTGCGTTTCGGTGAAGTTTGAAACGAATTGTTCAGACCCTTAATAAGTGGGGATTAAATATTTTCGGATTCGCTTCTAGAAAAGTTTTCTCTTTTTTCGGAATGGATTTTAATTTTTTATTCCTTCTTGTTTTGTTTTATTGAAAAAAGAGGGTTTTTAAAGGATTATTTTCGGGTTTTTGAAATATTTTCGACAAAATTGTTTCGTGAATTGTTGCGGACTTTGCAAGTATATTTTTTTAAATTTATTTTTTGGTTGGATTTCCATCGTAGTGTTTTTAAATTGTATTTGAAACGGCTGTGGGATTTATTTTATATTTATATACAACTAGCTTTTACCCGCGGCTTCGCTCGTGTCACACAAGGATAAAAAGTAGCCCATGTGACATATACCAATACACACAGCGCCATCTATACCAATACTTTTGTTTTGCCTCGGAAATATCAAACTTTTCCGGGATAAAAAGTATCCTATTATTTAATCCAGACTTCTAACTTTACGTCTGCAAAAATTCAAAGCAATCGGTTCAGTAGTTACGGCGTGAAAGCGGAACAAACAAACAAACAAACTGACTTTCCAATTTATAATATTAAGTAAGGATTTATATGGACTGTTTCGTTGATAGAATACTTAAACGTTTTCAAATGTTGAATGAACAGACTGAATATTATTTTTATATTATTTGTTAATCGTAATTTACCTCGTCGAGTACCGGTTTTGTAGACACAATTATAGAACAATAGGTTGCGGTCACCGGTGACCGCTTGGTGTTTGACAGTTTAAAGTGGCATCATAAAGCTGACATTTTATACTTCTATTTGTATATGCAACCAATAATGTTGGACGTTGAGACATCATTATTTTAAACTAGCTTCTGCCTGCGACTTCGTCCGCGTGGAATAGTGGCTTCCGACAGAAAAGTATAGATAGCTGTGCCCGCGACTCCGTCAGCGTGTAACTCCTTGTGTATTAAGTTAATGAATGGAGTAACTTCTCCCGTTTTCCCAATATTTCCCTTCACTGCTCTGCTCCTATTGATCGTAGCATAATGAAAAGTATACTATAACCTGCCCAAGAGTATAAAGAATAATTGTGCCAAATTT